TGGATGTTTTTAATGACATCTAGAATGGGAATTGTTTCCAGAAGGTTTTCAATTTACTTTCCCCAAAGCCATCACAGGAATCACTATCTATGGGAGTTACAGCCTCATGAAATGTATTTCTTAATAAGACTTGAAAATAGAAATTACTCTCTGATCCATGGACTACAGAATGGATGCTGTGTTAGCAGGCATGGAAACAGCAGTGATCCCCTGGGACATTTCCATCAGAGCTCTTGAGTGACTCAAGGCATCATCAGTGAGCTGTAATAATTTGAAAAGGATCTTTTTGTGTGTGCAGTACATCTCAAGAGTGGGCTTAAAACATTGCTGCCCACAGATGTACTATCATTCAGTTTTTGTTTTCCTATTTCTAGAGCACAGGCAGAATAGATTTAGCATAATTCTTAAGAGCCTTAGAATCTTCAGAATGGTAAATGAGCCCTGGATTCAAGTCAAAGTCATCATAAGTTCCTGACAAAAAGGGAGTCAGTCTGTCCATTAAAGCCAGGCATTGACTCCTCCTCTCTTGCTATGAAAGTTCTAGATTGCAGCATCCTCCAATAGAAGACTGTTTCATCTACGTTGAAAATCTGTGTAATGTAGACACTTCCACCAGTTCCCTTAGCTAGATTGTCTAGGTAACTTGTACAGCTTCTACATTAGCATTTGCTACCTCGCCTTGCACTTTTGTATTATTTAGATGGTTTTTCCCTTAAACATCATGAACCAACCTCTGTTGCTTAGCTTCCAACTTTTCTTCTGTAGCTTCCTCACTTCTCTCAGCCCTCATAGAATTAAAGAGAGTCAGGGCATTGCTCTGGATCAGGCTTTGTTGTGGTTGGTTTGATATTCTATCCAGATGACTGAAACTTTTTCTGTCAGCAATAAGACTTTTTCACTTTCTTATCATTTGTGTGTTCACTGGAGCAGCACTTTTAATTTCCTTCAAGAACTTCTTCTTTGCATTTACAGCTTGGTTGTCTGGCATAAGAAGCCTAGCTTTTAGCCTATCTTGGCTTTCAACATGTCTTCCTAAGATTAGTCATTTATAGCTTTTGGTTGAAAGTTAGAGCTGTGCGGCTCGGCGCCTGTGGCTCAAGCGGCTAAGGCGCCAGCCACATACACCTAAGGTGGCGGGTTCGAATCCCCAGCCCGGGCCCACGAAACAACAATGATGGCTGCAACCAAAAAATGGCCAGGCGTTGTGGCAGGCGCCTGTAGTCCCAGCTGCTTGGGAGGCTGAGGCAGGAGACTCGCTTGAGCCCAGGAGTTGGAGGTTGCTGTGAGTGTGATGCCATGGCACTCTACCCAGGGGGATAGCTTGAGGCTCCGTCTCAAAAAAAAAAGAAAGTTAGAGCTGTGTACCTCTTTCACTTGACCACTTAGGGGGTTATTAATTGGCCTACTTTCAACATTGTTGTGTCTCAGGGAGTAGAGAAATAACAAGACCTGTTGGTGGAGCAATCAGAACACATACTAAGGTAAGGCCTATTGGTGGAGCAACCAGAACACATACAATATATATTAAGTTCATCATCCTATATGAGTTCAGTTCCTGGCACTTAAATAATTACAATAGTAAGGTTAAAGACCACTGATCTCTCATGCCTATAATTCTGGCACTCTGGGAGGTCAAAGCCTAAAGATTGCTTTAGCTCAGGAGTTTGAGACCAGTCTCAGCAAGTGCAAGACCCCGTGTCTACTAACAATAGAAAAAATTAGAGAGGCATGACACACACCTGTAGTCCCAGCTACTTGGGAGGCTAGGGCAGCAGGATAGCTTGAGCTCAGAAATTTGAGATTGTGGAAAGCTATGATGATGCCACCGCATTCATCTGGGGTGACAGAGTGAGATTCTGTCCATATAGAAAAAAGAAACCACTGATTACAGATGACCACAACCAATATAATAATGAAAAAGTTCAAAATATCGGGAGAATAGCCAAAGCATGACACAGAAACATGAAACGAACACATGATGTTAGAAAAATGGCACCAATAGACTCGTGCTTTACTCAGGGTTGCCACTAACCTTCCATTTGTAAAAAAACAGTATCTTCAAAACACAGCAAAGCAAAGCTCAATAAAACAAGCTATGCCTGCATGTGCAAAGAAAGATCATTGCATCTCTTGTTTCCTTATTTAATATTCACCAGTTATTTTACTTTCTTTTCTCATCTTGTTGACTAGAACTTCCAAACACTGTTGAGTAAGAAGAGTGGGAGTCAGCCTGAGTAAGAGGGAGACCCGTCTCTACTAAAAATAGAAAAAAAATAGCCAGGTGTCATGGCAGGCACCTGTAGTCCCAGCTACTTGGGAGGCTGAGGCAGGAGGATTGCTACAGTCCAAGAGTGTGAGGTTGCTGTGAAGTATGACACCACAGCACTCCACCCTGAGGGGATAGAATGAGGCTGTCTCGAAAAAATAAAAATAAAATAAAAATAAGAGTGGGAGCGAAGGCGATTCTCTTAAGCAAGACAAAAACTTCAATACTCCCAAGACTTGTTGGATTCTGTAAAGATTTAAAACTTTTTATAAACAACTAATAAACGAGAAAAACATTTATATAAAGATTGATATCCCTATTATGTATGGTACTCCTAAAAGTATCAAGAATGACAATTGCCCATATTGAGGGGAGGAGTAACTGATACTCTCATACAATGTATGCGTCCTTTCCACTTTTTTGGAGAATAACAGTAAATAATTTTTTTGGAGAGTAATAATAAATAATGTTATCACAAAGGAAAACTTTGTAGTTGCTTTTCAGGTACTCTGGAATGTCTGACTGTCCTTGCCAACCAGAAATTCATTTTGTGAACTAATTCTTTGATCAGAATTCTCATAACCAAGTTCTCTCCTATTTTGTAAAGATGTGTGTTCAAGAATATTGATCATTTTTATATTGACCCAAAACTTTATAAAATCCTCTGGACTCTACCTAAATATCCATCAATAGGAAATAATTGTATGAATTATAATACATCCCTATTAAGAAATATTACACAGCTATTTTCTAAAGTGATATATATGTGTGTGTATATATATATATATGCATATTGCTATGGAAGGATGGTCATGTTACGTTGATAAGTGAATAAAACCAAAATACAAAGTAACATGTAGAGTATTATCCCTTTTTGTGAAAAAAAACTATCAGAAAATATATGTATATTGTTTTATATGTATACATTTTATTTGTATCTTAGTCTGCATTATTTTTTACATTTAAAAAAAAATCAATTGAATAAAATGTAAAAGGAAACAAAATAATGGTATTCCAAAGAAAAACTGCAGACTTGCTTTTCAATTACTTTTTTTTGTTGTTTGCTTATTTGACTTTTTTTTTTCTTTGGCCAGGGCTGGGTTTGAACCTGCCATCTCCAGCATATGGGGCTGGCGCCCTACTCCTTTGAGCCATAGGTGCCGTGGACTTTTTTGTTTTTTTATTGTTGGGGATTTGTTGAGGGTACAAGAAGCCAGGTTATACTGATTGCATGTGTTAGGTAAAGTCCCTCTTACAATCGTGTCTTGCCCCCAAAAGGTGTGTCACACCCCGCCGCCCTCCCTCCTTCCCTCTCTCTGCTCTTCCTTTTCCCCACCCCTCCCTCCTTCTTTCACTCTTCAATTATTTTGTAGTGCTGGACAGTCTTTGCCAACCAGAAATGCTTTTTTAAATTATGATAGAATATCCATAACATAAAATTTACTGTTTTAATTATGGTGAGTGTACAATTCAGTGGCATTAAGTCTGTTATATTATTATGGCGCCATCACCACTGTTCATCTCCAGGAATACTTTATTTACTCTCTACCATGGAAACAATAGCTCCCCAGCCAACTCCCCTCCGTCCCTGACAACCGCCATTCTACTTTCTATCTCTATGCAGTGGACTACTCTGTACCCCTCCTCCAAGTGCAATCTGTGATATTTGTCCTTTTCTTCGCTTCACATAATATTTTAGGGTTCATCGTGCTGTGGCATGTATCAGAGTTACATTCCTCTCTCTGGCTGCATAAAGCTTCTTGACTGTGTATATCAGGTTTTGTTTGTCCACTCACCTGTTGGTGGACATTCGGGTAGTTTCCACCTTTTGGCTATTGTGAGTAACGCTGCTATGAACGTGAATACACAAATGAGAAATTCTCAACTTAGCATTCTAGTCTTCAGAGGAATTAGTATCAACACATGGGAATGCTTTGGAACACAATTTCATATTTCATTTGTGTTTTCAATACAGTATAAAGATCCAGATTATTCTTGCTTTAGCACCTGATGATCAGTAACTGCTTACTTTGGTTGTTTTCCTTTTTTTGTCTTGCATAGTGCTGGGTCTCTATAATTTTAATAAAAAACCATGTAGCTCTCCCCACCTAAGTATCCTCTACAGAGAGTACAGCAAATTTTGGTCATAGCTAGCTAGCTACAGCTGAAACAAAGACTTGGAACCATTGAATACTTCTGGTTAGTATGGATAATAATTGCCGCAGTAGTCCATCCTCTCCCTATATTGGACCTGAATCCATGTTGCCTGTCTGCATTGGCTGGACAGCTGTGTGTGTGTTAAGGTAGTGTGCAACTCTGTACTAATGAACATAATAACTTCAACGAGAATCCCAGTGGGATTTTGTAACAGTCTTATATTGACTTCAAAAATATAACTAAACAGCAATCATTAATCTTCATCAAATAATAAGTAATAATAATGCAAGCCCAATCCCTGGGTGTCTTCAATCAAGCCAAATGCATAGGTACCGGCCACATGTGCAGCTGCTGCTTAGGGCGGCATTAATCTCAGGCTGCTCTAGGTCTGACATACATAAAATGAGATTAGTCAATACATGAGCTCTGAGAAGCTGTGAATCAAGTAGGCTTTTATTAATCCTGTCTTCAAATACTTTAGACAAGCTCATCATTTAAAAGAACTTAACTTTTGGAACAAAGAACTTCTATATGACCCAGCAAGTCCACTCCTAGGTCTCTATCCTAAGCAGGAACATGAACAGATATTTGCACACCAGTGTTCATAGCAGCAGCGTTCACAATAGCTGAAAGTTGGAAACACCCAAGTGTCCACCAACAGATAAATGGGCAAAATGTGGTAAATACAGACAATGGAATATTATTCAGCCTTAAAAAGGAATGAGATTTTGACACATGCTACAACACGGATGAACCTTGAAAACATTGTGCTTAGCAAAATAAGCAGACACAGAAGGATAAATACGAGGTGATCTACCTGCATGAGCTGCCTAGACTGGGCAAATCCATAGAAGAGAAGTCACCAAGAGCTGGAGGGAGGGAAGAAGGGGAGGTTATTGTTTAATGGCTACAGAGTTTTTGTTAGGGATGACAAAAATCTTTTGGGTATAGATGCGATGATAGACAACAGTGTGAATGTTTTTAATGACACTGAATTATATACTTAGAAATGGCTAAAGTGATCAAGATTGTTATATGACTTTTGTCCCAATTTTTAAAAATCTCTGGTGTAAAATCGCCTTTTCACATGAGGGCATTTGGTAAGACAGACTGTCTGAGATGGGTTGACTTCTTTTGGTTTCAGGCTGCAGGCTCTCAAATCGGAATGATGGTCAATTCCTTCACCAATGTCACTGTGGCCATAATCATTGCCTTCCTCTTTAGCTGGAAGCTGAGCCTGGTCATCTTGTGCTTCTTCCCCTTCTTGGCTTTGTCAGGAGCCGTGCAGACCCGAATGTTGACAGGATTTGCCTCCAAGGACAAGCAGGCTATGGAGAGAGTGGGACAGGTAATCTTCCAGACCTAATTTTCAGGCTGCTTATGGCTGAGTGATTATCAAACTGTTAAAAATTGTAGTATAAAGAGACTTCAGGAAGCTGCCAGCCCACAGGCATGCACAGTCAGAAACCTCACACACCCTTTCCATGTGAGCCCAAAGCTTCAATGCTCTGGTTTGAGCAGGCATGGAGAAGTAAGGGGTGACACAGGGTTGCACATTCAATTTCTCTCCAGTAGTGATTTGTGTCCTGATTTGCTGTATTCTCACCTGTTGGGGTGGCTTGCTCAGTTTTCTGTCTGTGAGGTTTTTTCTGCTTCCTGGTTGCCCATGCTGTCTATGCAGAGAGGAGCTATTACTGTTGATGTCACACAGCTTTTAATTTTCACTCTTTAGAGTCTGCTAGGTTTGGGGCTTGAATTATGAGATGCAGTTTAGGTTTTGAATATACTTAGGTTTGAGTTATGCATTTTTAAAAAGTACGTTCTAATTAATGTCTGGTCACCAGGGCAAAGTGGTATAGATGTTTATGAGGTGTAGGAAACCTCTCTCTCAACAAATTCACTATAATCTCAGGTTTGTCTCTATTAAGAGATGGAATGTGAACAACTGCTCAAGTAGGCAAAAGCCAAAAGCCACCAGCCCTTCAGATGTCAGTGACAGAAAGTGGGATCCCTTTGTGCTTTGGTGGGTCAGGACTCTAATTCAGAAGTAGTGATTATTATTTCTAGAGTGGGAATGAAACAAGTGCAAAATCACAGTTTAGATGAAAAGAAAATATTCCTACTTAATTTTAAATTATGTAGTATTTGGTAGGATTAATATTTTTTCACAGAGGTAGAATGTTTATTTTTTATTTCAGGTTAATGTGAGAGTACAAATAACCAAATCACAGTATTGGAATTTGTTAGGTAGACTCCCTCTTGTAACTATGTCCTGTACCCAGAAGGTCATACATTCAGTAAGATTAATATTTTAAGAAAGTAGAATTTAATATCTTCAATTTTTAATTTGTATTATTAAAAAATAGTTTGTCTCAGAACACATCTAAAGAAATCATGTTATACATTTCAGATGAATTGACAAAGAAGCTAAAAACCTTTCAGGGATAACCATGTGTACTCCCACCCCCACCCCCTGCCACAAGTGGAAGCCGCAAAGCTATGCTGTGTCAGAATTAAGTAGAACTTGAATTTAACTGAAAAATTATCTCATGGCCCAGCTGGTTGATCTCCGGCATCCTCTCTGCATTCCCAGAGGGCACCTTCATCTTTGATCTGTGCCACAGCCCGCCCTGCGCCCAGATCTAATCCATGCCACCATTTAAATTTCACGAAAGGAATTATTTCTGCTCTTTTATTCTTAAAACTCTTTTTCATTCTTCAGATTGCAAGTGAAGCTCTCAGCAATATCCGCACGGTTGCTGGAATCGGGAAGGAGAGGTGGTTCATTGAAGCATTTGAGACTGAGCTGGAGAAGCCTTTCAAGACGGCCATTCGGAAAGCGAATGTTTACGGATTGTGCTTTGGCTTTTCCCAAAGCGTAGTGTATGTTGCTAATTCTGCTTCCTACAGATACGGAGGCTACTTAATCCCCAATGAGGGGCTGCACTTCAGCTATGTGTTCAGGTGAGGACGGTCCAGCCCAGGTCATAAGAGGTCAACACTCTAGGAAAGATTGGCCCGGTTCTGTCGGTTACCTTTTCTGCTGCTTCACAAGCCACCTCAAGCTTGGCATCTTTAAACGGCTGGAATTGATTATTTCTCAAGATGCTGCGGGTTGTCAGGTGGCTCTTCTGGCCCAGGCTGACTCCCCCAGCCTTCCGAGTGTATGTACTTCTGGCTCTGCGTGGCCCCTCTAGCCAGTGAGCTTTTTGTCACTGTGTAGTCTCAGAGTTCCCAGTGCAGCAAGAGAGGGCAAGGCCCGGCGTGCAAGCCCTTCTCGAGTGTCTCCAAGCTTCACATTTTCTAATGTATCTTTGGCCAAAAAAGTCACACAATGGAGGTTTGAAGAACAGAGAAATAGGATCCACTTTTTGATGAGAGGAGTATAAAAAGCCATAAGGCAAAGGGCTGTATTATAGTAGGGTAAATTAATGTGATCATTTTTACACACAATCTACCCCCTTGGTTAATGCTGAGAAAATCCAGAGGCCTTGAATAAGATGGCTCATAGAACTCTCCTATTTGAACTCTACTCTTCTCTTGCAAAAAGGACAAAGCTGACACCCCCCGAGGCGGAGACAGCATAGGCCAGACAGGGGATGTCCATTCCTTTTTTTATAGCCCCAGAGCCTGCTTTTCTGTAAGATCATCTTCAGTCTGGTTTCTCACATTTCCAGAAGTGAGAGCCTCAGGATGCCGGGGAGCAGGGCGCCTGTGTATTTGTGTGGTGGGGAGGGGCTGAGGAGGGCGTGGGGCATTAGGAAAGCCATCCTGTGCCAGTCCATTTTTCTAGCCATGAGTCCTCCCTTTTCACTTGACATCTGTCTCCAGCACGACTCTCCTTCTCCACTATGGCCACCCCAGCAAGAAAAGCCTTTTTCTTTCTTTTCTTTTTCTTCTTTTTCTTCTTCTTTTTTTTTTTTTTTTTTTTT